AACAGTGTCTCATGGATGGTGTGTTTTACGTTGTTTGGATACAGTGTCCTCCAGGATGGCGTGTGTTACGTTGTAGGATCAGTGTCTCCTGATGGTTTTTTGTGTTCTGATTTTGGAACTGTGCCTCCTGGATGTGTGTTTTATCTGTAGTAGATACAGTGTCTCCTTGATGGGTGTGTATTACAAGTTGAAGGAACAGTGTCACCTGGATGGAGTGTATACTGTTGTAGGAACATTGTCCCCTCCTGGATGGTTTGTGTTACTGTTGTTGGAACAGAGTCCTCCAGGAAGGTGTGTGTTACTGTTTTAGAACAGTGTCCTCCTGATGGTGTGTTACTTTTGGTCGAAGCAGTGGGTCTCCTGGATGGTGTGTATATTGTTGAAGGAACAGTGTCTCCTGGATAGTGTGTGTTACTGTTGTAGAGACAGTGTCTCTTGGATGGTGTGTGTTACAGTTGTAGGAACAGTGTCTCCTGGATGGTGTGTATTACTGTTGTAGGAACAGTGTCTTCTGGATGGTGTGTGTTACTGTTGTTGGAACAGTGTCTCCAGGATGGTGTGTGTACTGTTGTATGATCAGGACCTACCTGGATGGTCTAGTAGTTACAGTTGTTGGAACAGTGTCTCCTGGATGGTGTGTGTTACTGTTGTAGGAACTGTGTCTCCTGCATGGTGTGTGTTACTGATGTAGGAACAGTGTCTCCTGGATGGAGTGTGTGTTACTGTTTGTAGGAATCAGTGTCTCCTGGATGGTGTGTGTTACTGTCTTAAGACCAGTGTCCTCCTTGGATGGCTAGTGCTAACTGGGAGGAACAGTGTCTCCTGGAGGTGTTTGTTACTGCTAGAAGGAACAAGTGTCTCCTGGATGGTGTGTGTTACTGTTTACGAAGATGGTGTCCTCCTGGATGGTGTGATAACTGAAGTAAAACAAGTGGTCCCCCTGGATGAATTACTTTTACTGAAGTAGTAACAGTGTCCCTGGATGTGTGTTACAGTTGTACGAAACAGTGACCACCTGGATGGTGTATACAGTTGTAAGACAGTAGTTCTCCGCCCGGATTGAGTGTGTTACTGTTGTAGGAACAGTGTCCTCCTGGATGTGTGTTACTGTTGATAGGAAAACAGTGGTCTCCTATGGTGTGTGTTACTGTTGTAGGAACAGTGTCTCCTGGATGGTGTGTGTTACTGTTGTAGGAGCAGTGTCTCCTGGATGGTGTGTGTTACTGTTGTAGGAACAGTGTCTCCTGGAAGTGATGTATACTGTTAAGGAACAGGTCCTCCGGGATGGTGTGTGTTACTGTTGAAGGAACAGTGTCTCCTGGATGGTGTGTGTTATTGTTGTAGAGACAGTGTCTCCTGGATGGTGTGTGTTACAAGTTGTGGGAACAGTGTCTCCTGGATGGTGTGCATTACTGTTGTAGGAACAGTGTCTCCAGGATGGAGTGTGTGTTAACTGTTGTTGGAACCCAGTTTTTGTCCCCATGATGGTGTGTGTACTGTGTAGGATCAGTGTCTCCTGGATGGTTTGTGTTACTGTTGTTGGAACAGTGTCTCCTGGATGGTGTGTGTTACTGTTGTAGAGACAGTGTCTTCAGGATGGTGTGTGTTACAAGTTGTAGGAACAGTGTCTCCTGGATGGTGTGTATTACTGTTGTAGGATCATTGTCTCCTGAGGTGTTGTACAATGTGGGAACAGTGTCCTCCAGATGGTGTCTGTTAACTGTTGTAGGATGTACTCCCACTTAATGGTTTTGTGTACTGTTGATTGAAACAGTCTCCTGGATGGTGTGTGTTACTGTTGTAGAAGACAACAGCGTACTCCAGATGGTGTGTATTTACCAGTTGAGGAACTGTGATCCCTGGGTGGTGTGTATTACTGTTGTAGATCAGTGTCTCCTTGATGGTGTGTGTTAATGTTGTTGGAACAGTGTCCTTCCAGGAAGGTGGTGTTACGGTTGTAGGATCATGGTCCTCCTGATGGTTTGTGTTACTGTATGATAGAACAGTGTCCTTCCTGGAGTGAGTGACAGTTGTAGTAACAGTTTCTCCCTTGGATAGGTGTGTTACTTTGTCGGTAGCAGTTTCTCCTGGATGGTGTGTGTTATTGTTTGAAGAACAGTGTCTCCTGGATAGATGTGTGTTACAGTTGTATAGACAGTGGTCTCTTGGATGGTGGTGTTTACAGTTGTAGGAACAGTGACGAGCTGGAATGGTGTGTATTACTGTTGTAGGACAGTGTCCTGCGGGGGGGGGGGGTGATGGTTGTGTTACTGTTTGTTGAACAGTGTCTCAGATGGTGTGTGTTTCTCGCTGTATAATCAGTAGACTCCCTGATGGTTTGAGTAAACAGTATGTGGAACAGTGTCCTCCTGGCTGGTGTGTGTTACTGTTGTAGGAACTGTGTCTCCTGCATGGTGTGTGTTTACTGATGCTAGGAACAGTGCTCCTGGATGGTGTGGGGTGTTACTGTTGTAGGACTCATGTCTCCTGATGTGTGTGTTAGCTGTCTAAGAACAGTGTCTCCTGATGGGCATGAGACTACTGTTGTAGAACAGTGTCTCCTGGATGGTGTGTGTTACTGTGAAGGAACATGTCTCTGGATGTGTGTGTTACGTTTTACGAAATAAAACAAAGTGTCTCCTGGATGGTGTGTTACCTTGAGTTTGTAAGAACAGTGTCTCCTGGATGGGTTTACGAGGTAGGAACATGTCTCCTGGATGTGTGTTACAGGTTGTAAACGAACAGTGTCTTCTGATGGTGTGATACGTTTGTAGACAGTGTTCCTCCAGATGGGTTGTGTTACTGTGTAGGAACAGTGTCTCCTGGATGGTGTGTTACTGTTTGGAGGAACATGTCTCCTTAATGTTTTTTATACTGTTGTAGAACATGTCTCCTGGATGGTGTGTTTACTGTTATAAGGAGCATGTCTCCTGGATGGTGTGTGTTACTGTTGGAGGAAATGTCTCCTAAAGGGTGAGTGTTACTGTTGAAGGAACAGTGTCTCCTGGATGGTGTGTGTTACTGTTGAAGGAACAGTGTCTCCTGGATGGTGTGTGTTATTGTTGTAGAGACAGTGTCTCCTGGATGGTGTGTGTTACAAGTTGTGGGAACAGTGTCTCCTGGATGGTGTGCATTACTGTTGTAGGAACAGTGTCTCCTGGATGGTGTGTGTTACTGTTGTTGGAACAGTGTCTCCAGGATGGTGTGTGTAACTGTTGTAGGATCAGTGTCTCCTGGATGGTTTGTGTTACTGTTGTTGGAACAGTGTCTCCTGGATGGTGTGTGTTACTGTTGTAGAGACAGTGTCTTCAGGATGGTGTGTGTTACAGTTAGTAGGAAACAGTGTCTCCTGGGATGTTGTATTAATGTTGTAGGATCATGACTCCTGGATGTGTGTGTTACTGATTGTTGGCACAGTGCCTCCCAGGATGGTGCCTGTTACGTTTAGGATCAGTGTCTCCTGTATGGTTTGTGTTACTGTTGTTGGAACATTCTCCTGGATTGTGTTGTTTCTGTGTAGAGACAAGCGTCTCCAGGATGTGAGTGTGTTACAAAGTTGTAGGAACAGTGTCTCATGGATGGTTTTGGGGGGTTATTACTGTAGTAGGATCAAGTCTCCTGATGGTGTTGATCATGTTGTTGGAACGATGTCTCCAGGATGGTGTGTGTTCTGTTTCGGAACTGTGTCTCCTGATGGTTTTTGTCACTACTGTTTTTGGACAGTGTCTCCTGGATGGTGAGTGTTACAACGTTGTAGGAAACATTGTCCTCCTTGATGTGTGTGTTACTGTTGAAGACCAGGTCCTCCTGGATGTGTGTGTAACTGTTTTACGGCATGTCTCCTGGATGTGGTTTTAACTGTTGTAAGAACAGGTACCCTCCTGGATGGTTGTGTTACTAGAAGTAGGAACAGTTCCCCCTGGATGGTGTGTTACTGTTGGTTACTGAACAGTGTCTCCTGGATGGTGTGTTACTGCATGTAAGAACAGTGTCACCAGTATGGTGTGTATATAACTGTTGAGGAAACAGTGTCTCCATGGATGGTTGTAACTGTTTGTAGGAACATTCTCCTTAATGTGGGTGTTACTGTGCAGTAAACAGTGTCTCCTGGATGGTAGAGTGTTACTGTTTTAGGATCAGTGTCCTCCTGGATGGTGTGTGATGGTGAGT